ACTTTTTGAAACGTTTTGGAATATGTAAAGTTACCAAACAAAGTTCACATTCCCAAGTACTTTTCACGTTTCACTCTTCTTGTATTTTTTTCTTTTTGTAATTTTCACTGTTTAGTATCTGTGCTGCATATCTGTTTGTTTCGACAGCTATCGCGTTCCAATAATCATCCGTCAATGTTAGATCGAATAAATCTATTACAGTGGGATTATTTCCTAATTTTTGCAAAAATAAAAGGTTTAGGTTAGGTTTATACCTGATGTTTCCGTGAAGATCAAACTTTTTGGATCATTACCTTTGGAAACCCAATTCCAATCATTAGTGTTATCTTCACTTGTTGAAGTTTCGTCTGTTTTTATTGCATCCTCATTATCAGAATCGTCTAAAACGTTTCTTCTGTCTTTGAAAAAAAAATCTGTGCTCATAGCTGTCACTTTTCAGAATTATTTCAGCACGTCTGCCCATGCCTGGTTACAAGCAAAATTATTTCGTGATTAATTAGAATAACGGTGAAATTGTTTTAATTAATCGTAATTACATAGAATGATTATTATTCGAAATCAATCGCAATATGACACAGCGTTATCCCGACTATTAACTTGCACACGCGTTAATGCATACTACTTGCCACAAAAATACACCACGAGCCCGACTCGTTCTGCGCGAATAGGTTAGGTTTAGGTTAGTTTGAGAAGTGTTGAACTGCTCATGCTTTTCTTCGACAAAATAACAAGTAATTCGTCACTGATAAAAAAACTGCGAGAGTAGAAGATCTGTACGCATAAGTCGGATCCATTGTTTAGAAATGTCACTGTTAACGACATCGATCGTTTGTCATTTACGCGAGAAATGTTTGAAATTACTTTGCCAAACTTATATATATATATATATATATAATCCAAACTGTTGGATTTCTCCATTGTTCTTGCAATTCTTTTGTCGGCCAGTTCGTCAGTGCTGTCAGAGAAATTGCGTAAATTTGTAATTTATGCATAGGCAAATGGACATTTTTTTCACCGAGAGCACTTGCATTATCGTTGCACCGCGGTGTATTCGCTTCGTGAGTTCTCTGCATGCGTTCGGCCATGTTCTGCGTATATTTTCCCCAGGTTGCCTCCGCGACAATGAAACTGTTTTGTTTAATAACGTCGGGATGCATGCCAATGTAATGATCGCTGTAGTTGCCTACTATTAGCATCCATGTTAAAACGCGTGTTTACTATTTATTACTGAGAAAACGTGTGGTTATTCGATGACATGCCAGAACTTACGTAATCGTATCATCGAGCAAACATAGCACGCGAAATGATACGCTGTCGTCCTCTACTTCTTTTTCTCTTCTTTCCAATTATTATTATTATTATTTTTTTTTT